TAGAATAGAGTATTAGGGTAGAGTAGAAGAGAAGAGTATTAGGGTAGGATAGAGTATTGGTAGAATAGAAGAGTAGAGTATTAGGGTAGGATAGAGTATTAGGGTAGAATAGAAGAGTATTAGGGTAGGATAGAGTATTAGGGTAGAATAGAAGAGTAGAGTATTAGGGTAGGATAGAGTATTAGGGTAGAATAGAAGAGTAGAGTATTAGGGTAGGGTAGAATAGAGTAATAGAGTAGAGGTAGGAGAAGTGCGAATAGAGTAGCAGTAGAATAGAAGATTGGAAGGGACCTTGGAGGTCTTCTAGTCCAACCCCCTGCCTAGGCAGGAAACCCTACACCATTTCAGACAAATGATTGTCCAATCTCTGCTTAAAAACTTCCAGTGTTGGAGCATTCACAACTTCTGGAGGCACGTTGTCCCACTGATTAATTCTTCTAACAGTCAGGAAATTTCTCCTTAGTTCTAGGTTGCTTCTCTCCTTGATTAGTTTTCACCCATGGCTTCTTGTCCTGCCTTCAGATGCTTTGGAGAATAGCTTGACTCCCTCTTCTTTGTGGCAGCCCCTGAGATACTGGATCACTGATGTCATGTCACTCCCTAGTCCTTCTTTTCATTAAACTAGACATACCCAATTCCATCAATTTTTCATAGCTCACCGTTAATATCCTTGATATGTTTTGCTGTAACTTACTCTGTGTTTGTGGTTGAGTCTACATCAGCCTTGTGAGGTAGTCCAGATAAGAAGCACACCCAGATGACCTAATACTACTTTACAGGTAGTCCTCGACTTACGACCGTTCGTTTTGTGACCAAATTTACCATGGCAGTGAAAAAAGTGATTATGACCATTTTGCACCCATGACAGTGCGGCATCCCCATAGTCATGTGATCAAAATTCAGATGCTTGGCAACTAATTCATATTTATGACGGTTGCAGTATCATAGCGACCTTCTGACAAGCAAAGTCAGATTCACTAAACAACTGTGTTGCTAACTTCACAAGTGCCATGATTCACTTAACAACTATGGCAAGAAAAGGTTGTTAAATGGGGCAAAACTCACTTAACAAATGTCTCAGAAATGTTGGACTCCGTTGTGATTGTAAGTTGAGGACTACCTGTATTGTGAAGCTAAATTAACAGATTCTTGCAAGACTGAAAGTATTTCTCTCCTCAGTTTTTACTCTCCGTAAAACAAGTCATTACCCTGTGTTCCCTCATCTGGAGCCTGAGCTGCCTTTTTGGAGAACATTGCCAGGGCAGTGGGTATTTCTCCTGTTCTCCCAGGGCCATTCCCACATATCATAATAAATAAAACTATAAAAAAGATGTTGAGACTCTAGAAAAAGTACAGAGAAGAGAAACCAGGATGATTAGGGGACCGGAGGCTAAAACATATGATGAACAGTTACAGGACCTGGGCCTGGCTAGTCTAGTGAAGAGAAGGACCAGGGGAGACAGGATAGCAGTCTTCCAATATTTGAGGGGCTGCCACAGAAAGGAAGGGGTCAAGCTATTTTCTAAAGCACCCGAAACAATGGATGGAAACTGAACAAGGAGAGATTAAACCTGGAAATAAGGAGAAACTTTCTGACAGTGAGAACAATCAACCCATGGAACAGAAGTTGCCCTCGGAAGTTGTGGGAGCGCCATCACTTGAGACTTTCAAGAAGAGATTGGACTGCCATTTGTGAGAAATGGTGTAGGGTCTCCTGCTTGGGCAGGGGGTTGGACTAGATGACCTACAAGGTCCCTTCCGACTCTGATTATCTGTTATCTGTTATTTCATTACAGTCCATGTCTTGACATATTGTGAATCCAATCATTACTGATTCATTCCGTTCATTGTCATATTTATCCCTCCCTTTTAAAATAATTTGTTTTATGTGTATGTTTTCAATGGCAAACATACCTGATCCTTCTGCTTCCTTGTTTTCACACCACAGCCTGCGAGGTGGATTAAGCTGAGAAAGAACGACTGGCGTGCCTGAGGTGGGAACTAGAATTCACGGTCTCCTGGTTTTCTGGCCTCAACCGCTGCGCCAAACCGGTCCTATATCTCCATTAAACTATCCTGTCTCTTGGAGCGTGAACCTAGGCCCTTGTCTTCAAAAATTCAATAACCTGGAAGAGAAGAGTTTCGAGGGAGATGGGCGGTTCAAAAAATGTGAAAAACAAAATGAAAGACAGGATGTTGACATTGCTCGATATTTAAGCCACGATTGCTCATTTCAGAAACATTGAACCCAAGAGAGAGAGAGAGAGAGAGAATGGGGACCCAGTTGAAAGAGTCTTATGTAGCTTCTCTTAACCTGCTTTCTTCAGATATTTGGAGAAAGAACCCCAACTCCCAGAATTCCCAGACAATATGGTGGATGAAATAAGGCTGTGCTTCCAGCAATTTCAGCTAACCACCCCTCTTGCAATTTGTTGTGATTATAATTCCCATTATTCCAACAGTACCGTTATTCCTGCTTTTGGCAACCTCCTTTTGGTGAGGAGCAAAGTTTGGGGCAAAGTTTGGGGCGATACTTCTCTCCTTTTGCCTCTCGTTGATTAGAAATTTTTGCCTCTCGTTGATTAGGAAGCCATGTGTGGAATACAGTCTTCCCAAAGAAGATGAGAACAGGCTGGATAAAAAACTGGTGACCTCTTCCCAAAGAATTTCTCATGAAGATGTCCCGATGTCCAGGATGAGTCAAAAGGAAGATCTGCAGAAGTTGCAGGCCAGCAACCTTTTTTTTGACCCAGGTAGCATTAAAAAGGAAGAGGAAGCCATCCCTTTTGACCAGACACAAGATAATGAAGGTGAGAAAAATTCCATAGTGGATCTTAAAGTTTAGAGAAGCAAGCAGCGGTTTTTACATTTTCTGTCTTTCTGTTTATTCGTTCAATTTATACGGCCATCCATTTCAAATGCATGACTCTGGGTGGCCTTGTATTTTTAGAAAGGTTTCGTTGAATAGTAATAAAAATAACAACCGCGACATCATCGTGCAGCAAAGTGATTAGACGAATAGACTACGGAAATGCAGAGAAGTGGAACTAGGATGATTAAAGGCCTGGAAACTAAAACATATGAACAACAGTTGCAGGAACTGGGCCTGGCCAGTCTAGGGAAGAGAAGGACCAGGGGAGACATGATAGCAGTCTTCCAATATCTCAGGGGCTGCCCCAAAGAAGAGGGAGTCAAGCTATTCTCCCAAGCACCAGAGGGCAGGACAAAAAGCAATGGATGGAAACTAATCAAAGAGAGAAGCAACTTAGAACTAAGGAGGAATTTCCTGACAGTGAGGACAATGAACCAGTTGAACAGCTTGCCTCCAGAAATTCTGGGAATCTCGAGATTTTTAAGAAGACACTGGACAGCCACATGTCTGAAATGGTATAGGGCCATGATGGTGAACCTATGGCATACGTGCCACGGGTAGCACGCAGAGTCATTTGTGCCGGCATGCAAGCTGCAGGCAAACTTACCTCACTGCGCATGCACACGCCTCACAGCTGATATTGGCTGGTTTGAGGCCTTTTTCGGCCTCCCAGAGGCTTTAGGAAGGCTTCTGCAGGCTTTTCAGACTGAAAAACTAGGCCCATTTCATCACTTCCTGTTTTTCCAGAAATACCGGAAGTGATGAAATGGCTGCAGAAGCCTTCTGAAAGCCTCTGGGAGGCCGAAAAAGGCCTCCAAACCGGCTGAAAATCAGCTGTGAGGCGCACTGCAGGTAAGGGGGTGGCGGGGGTGGGTGGGAATTGCACACGCATGCGTAGGGGGCCCTGGGGGGGCTGCGCATCGCCTTCTGGGTGCTGGCGTTCAAGCGTGCGCACAATTTTTGGCACAGGAGCCCAAAAAGGTTAGCCCGCAGTGGTATAGGGTCTCCTGGTTGAACAGGGAGTTGGATTTAGAAGACCTTCAAGGTTCCTTCCAGCTGTATTAGGAAGGAAGGAAGGAAGGAAGGAAGGAAGGAAGGAAGGAACGAAGGAAAGGAAGGAAGGAAGGAAGGAAGGATGGATGGATGGAAGGAAGCAAGGATGGAAGGAAGGATGGAAGGAAGAAAGGAAGGATGGATGGAAGGAAGGAAGGATGGATGGAAGGAAGGAACGAAGGAAAGGAAGGAAGGAAGGAACGAAGGAAGGATGGAAGGAAGCAAGGATGGAAGGAAGGATGGAAGGAAGAAAGGAAGGATGGATGGAAGGAAGGAAGGATGGATGGAAGGAAGGATGGAAGGAAGGAAGGAAGGATGGATGGAAGGAAGGAAGGAAGGAAGGAATATTGCAGATAGGGTATACTGAGATATCCGTAACGCATTTGATGAAGTTGACCATAACCGTTTCCTTGACAAAATGGAACCATTTGGGATAGTGAATCTAATTGCCAGAGGCCTTTGCAGCTGGCTGAGCAACCACATCCATTGTGTGGTTCTTCGTAATGCGAAGACATCTTATGTCAACGTAGGTATGGGGTGCAGGTAGACCTCGACGTAAAACCACAATTGCTAAGCAAGGCATCATTGTTAAGTGAATCACACCGTCGTTAACCATTGACTTTGCTTGTCGGAAGCCAGCTGGGAAGGTAACAAGTGGCGATCACACAGTCCCAGGACAGGAGAACAGTCATAAATACCTGCCAGGTGCCAAGGGCCTGAGTTTCGATCACGTGACCATGGGGATGCTGCAGTGGTCGTAAGAGTGAAAAAAAGATAATAAGTCATTCCAGTCCCAATTGCTATTGTAAGTTGAGGACCACCTGTATTTTTTTTTTAAAAAAATTGTTTTTTAAATCTCTGCTTATTCTTTCAGGCAAAAGTTATGTGTCTGAGGTAAAAAATGAAGACCGTCAGTGGAAATCTGAGGAAGAGGAAGCGCACAAAGGAGCAGCCGAAGAGAATGTTGTGCGCGGAGAACCCGGGAAAGGTGCCCAAGAACTGTGGAGACATGGGGGGAACTCTTTGGAAAGAAAGATTGCAGCGAACTGCATTTCCTCCTGGGGAAATGAAATCCCCAGCCAGGAGGGACTCCGCAAACGCAAACAGGACAAGAGTCCGCTCTGCGGCGCAGTTCAAGACGAGCAGGCCGTGTACCAGTGCTTGTACTGTAAGAAGTCCTTCAACGCCCACTTTAAATTGATTAGACACCACCGGATCCACACGGGGGAGAAACCGTACAAGTGTTTGGATTGCGGCAAGAGCTTTGACCAAAAGGGCAACCTGATTGCCCACGCGAGAATCCACACAGGGGAAAAACCATTCGCGTGCCCCGATTGCGGGAAAAACTTCAGCCACAAAGGAAGCCTAGTTTTGCACGTCAGAACTCACACGGGAGAGAAACCATACAAATGCCCGGATTGTGGGAAAAGATTCAGCCGTTCCGGGTCCCTGAAAGAACACGAGAAAACCCACACGGGCGAGAGACCGTACACTTGCTTGGATTGCGGGCGGAGTTTCCGAAAGAACTCTGAGCTGGCCATCCATTACAGGTTTCACACGGGCGAGAAGCCGTATAAATGTTCAGGCTGTGAGAAATCCTTCAGCACCAGCTCTAACCTTATTGCCCATCAAAGGACGCACACGGGGGAGAAACCGTACAGATGTTGTGACTGTGGGAAAGGGTTCAGCCAGGCCGGAAATCTGAAGGAACACGAGAGGACTCACACCGGAGAGAAGCCGTATAAATGTCCAGACTGTGGCAAACGCTTCCGGCAAATGTCGTACTTTATGAAGCATCACCAGACTCACCTTCCAGAAGGGAAGATGCCAATGGAGGAGAAACCCTATAAATGCTCGGACTGCGGGAAAGGTTTCGGTGAGAAAGCAAGCCTTGGGAGACATGAAAGAATCCACACTGGAGAGAAACCGTTTCAATGCTCCGATTGCGGGAAAAGCTTCTGCCTCAAATCAAACCTGGTGGTCCACGTGAGAATCCACACCAGAGAGAAACCATACAAATGTTCGGAGTGTGAGAAGAGCTTCAACCAGACGTCAAGCCTTCATAATCACGAGAGGACCCACAAGGGCGAGGAACCGTACAAGTGTTCAGAGTGTGGGAAAAGCTTCAACAGGCCGTCGCAGCTGAAGACCCACGAGAGAATCCACACCGGAGAGAAACCCTTTACGTGCTCAGAATGTGGGAAAGGCTTTGTTTACAGTCACCATCTTGTTAGACACCAGAGGAATCACACGGAAGAGAAACCTTACATATGCTGCCAGTGTGGAAAGGGGTTTAGCCACAAATCCACCCTTATTAGGCATCAGGGCATCCATAAAGAAGGGAAAAAATAGATACGTTTTAGGCTGCATCTGGCGCATGTGTGAAAACTCATGCAGAAGTCAGAATACAGCCATAAAGAGATCCAGGAGAGCAGTGGCACTTAGACATATATACTGCTGCACAATACTTTACAGCCCTCTCTAAGCGGTTTACAGAGTCGGCCTATTGCTGTCAACAATCTGGGTCCTCGTTTTACCGACCTCAGAAGGATGGAAGGCTGAGTCAACCTTGAGCCGGTCAGAATCGAACTCCTGACCCTCGGCAGAATTACCCTGCAATACTGCAATTCTAACCACTGTGAAACTAGGGCTCATCAAATGGAATGCACAAAATTTGTTCATGAATTGAAGTGTTAGGGTTCCGGCGATAGCCCTTATGAAATCATGAGCCTCGAGCCAAGCTTCAAAAAAAAACTCAAAAGATTTATTAGGAGCAACATGCTGGCATTAACCTAAATGAAGCCAACTCTGGCATACGTAATTTACAGTCACCTGTGACCCTGTTTCCCCCCTCCCCCTTGGGTGTATCATAAACCAGATTCTCCAATGAAGTTTGTTCATGGGCTGGGTGTCATCAATTACGTTCTCCAATTAAGAAATTTGCAGGCAGAAGATTCGGTAGCTTATTTACAATCTTTTTAAGATCATGGTGGAATGTACTGCCACCCTGCTCCTTCAGATTTCCTTTCCACCCCACTTCCTATGTTTATGGCAGCTCTAAAACAGGCGTAGGAGTTGACATGAAGGACATTGAAAAAATTTGGGGATCGAACTGCCGAGTTGCTGGCAGCTGGCAGTCAGCGGAAGTAGCCTGCAGTACTGCATTCCAACCACTGTGCCACCACGGCTCTCGGAATGCAGAAAACAAATTTTCTGCACTGACCAGAGAACTGAACTAGATAGATATTTTGTCAGGTCCAAGAGGACTCTTCATAATATTCTTCATCACAGTGGTTGATTATTAAGCTTTGGAGAACTTAAAGGCCTCCTATGTCCAGCATTTATGCTCAGACACCTCCAAGAGGTGCTTTTCAAAAGACAACTAGACTTTCTTGGGATTGTTCCCCCTTGAAAACATTTCGCTTCGCATCCAAGAACCTTTTTCAGTTCTGACTGAATGGCGGAGAACGGAAGGACTTCTATTCTTTGCAGTCATCTGGTCGCTAGCACTCGGAAGGTTGTACTTTTGAAACCCCCGTGACTTGGATGATCAATCCATAGACATTCAAGCTCGGAGTATCTGAAGATGTAGATAAAGGTAGCACCACCTAGGTGGAAGGAGGAGGAGGAGGTTAATCTTGGGAGAAGATAACTGAAGAAGTAGAGGAGACAATTGGACAATCCTCACCCTCCCGAAATAGCTGAATGGGAACTAAGCATATTTGGTGATTATTGAAGATGCTAGCGGGAGGGTGTAGACTAGAGAACCGAGCACAGAGAGACAATAAAATGAAGGAAAAACACTGATCAGCATAACTGTTTCAGGTCCCACAGTTTGGTTTTTATTTCCGATCTTGTTTCTTGAATTTCTCTTCACCGATATACTTACATATTCCGTGTTTCTGAGCTCCGTTCAGAAAACCTAGGAAGGAAACCACAAACCACGGTTCTAACTCTGTACTTGACGGTGGATGATGGTTTCAACCCTAACCCTAACCCTCCTGATGGCTGAGCATGATGGGCCCAGAAAATGCTCACCTTTAGAAGGTGCCAAGATTGGGGATGACTGATTTGCAGTTCATTCAGAAGGTCCAGTAGGACGATCAGAACAAAACAGCCCTTTAAAAGAGAAGAAGTGGCAATGACTGAAGTGTTCCTAGGGGAGCGGTTTCCAACCTTGACAACTTGTAAGACTTGTGGACTTCAACTCCTAGAATTCCTCAGCCAACTTTGGGATTCCGGGAGTTGAAGTCCACAAGTCTTATAGTTACCAAGGTTGGAGACCCCCCCGTTCTAGGGGATACCACAGTTGAGCCCAACATTTTGGTCGCTAAGCAAGAGAGTCGTTCCATTGAGTTTTGCCCCATTTTACAACCTTTCTGGCCACAGTTGTTGAGTGAGTCACTGCAGTCATTAACGTTAGTCGCACAGAATCTGGCTTCCCCGTTGACGTTGCCGGTGAGAAGGTCACAAAAGTTGATCACGTGACCCCCGCCATAAATCAGGTGCCAAGCATCCGAATTTCGATGACCTGACTCTCGGGATGCGGCAAAAGGTTGTATGTGTGGAAAACGGTCGTAAGTCACTTCTTTTCAGTGCCATTGTAACTTCTAACGGTCATTAAACGAACGGTTATAAGCAAGGGTGGGCTTCAAAATTTTTTAGCAACGGGTTCTCTGCCCGGTTGCTGGGTGGGCGCGTGGCCGTGGTGGGCGTGGCCTAGTTGGCCTCCTGCACTATGGTGGGGAGGGTGGTGTTTTTGCCCTCCCGGGCTCCGGAGGCTTTCCTTGAGCCTCCAGGAGGGCGAAAACAGCCTCCCCCAGACTCCGGAGGCTCTCTGGAAGCCAGAAACGGGCCCATTTCTGGCCTTCCCGAACTTCCGGGAGGCCCATTTTTCACCCTCCCCGAACCTCCACGCACGCCCTAAAGTTACCTGCATCCAAAACGGGCCACGTGGGGACTCATGGAAGGGAAGGGGAGGGGTGGGCGGAGCCAGCCAGGATTGGGATTTGGGGGTTCTCCAAACGGCTCAGAATCTCAGCTCAGGGGCCCTCCCGAACCCCTGGGAACCCCCCCCCCAGCAACCCACCCTTGGTTGTAAGTCGAGGATTACCTTCAGTGCGGTGCATTCTGACTTAGGGCAGATTTTCAACAGACTGGACAATGTCTTAATTATTTTGGTGTCGCTTTTTTCTCGGTTGGCCTATTTGTGTAGTGTGCCTAAGCTTTTGTCGGTCTATTATCTACATGCTTCTGTGGGGGGGGGGTCATCTTTTGTGCATGCTTCTTAACGTGTGTTCGGCGTGCGTGCGTATGCTTCTCTGCACGTGCCTAGTTGTGTGTGTGTGTTAGCATTTTCCAGAGTGCAAATTAAACTGCATATTAAACTAAAATAAAGATTGTGTCATGACCCTGTCGGAATCTGATTTGGAGGGGGAGGCCGAGCAGCTGACAGGGAGTGGGAGTGTGACTCCGTTGGCTGTGGAAGAAACTGGGGAAGGGCAGGGAAGAGGTAGAGCAAGGGAGAGGGAATTCAGAGGAAGACCCAGGCCCACCCCCTCTTCATCCACAGGGAGGAACGGAGAAGGGAGCAACGTGAGTTGTGTGGCTTACGGGGGAGGAAAAGGTCCTGATTCCCTTAATTAGCTGCAGCTGGGAACGCAGTGTATAAAAGAGGAAGGTGCACACAGCAAGTTGTTGGGAGCAAATTGTGAATTATCTGGTATCGTTGAGGCTTATCTGGGTTCCTGGCGTCTTCCCAACTGTGTGAGTTTTGCCGGGCTTTCAAGTCTGCAATTCCTTCTCCTACCCTGTCAAGTTAGTTACTGCAGTGTGGTTTGTTTGGATTTTTAGTTGCAGTTTGTATGTACCTTGTTTTCAGACTGAATTTCCTCCACTTAAAGGCTGTTCTTGGGAGAGTTTTTCTCCAGCCGAAGGTAACTGGACATTGAGGGCAAAATTGGAGGTATCAAAGGGACTTTCTTACTTATGTGACTGTTGCCTTTGTGCCACGCCCCGGGTCATCACACTGTGTATGATCATCTTTTGGGCATGCTTCTTAACGTGTGTGGGGGGTGCGTCCATATGCTCCTTTGCACGTGCATAGTTGTATGATGTGTGTGTGTTAGCATTTTCCAGAGCGCATATTAAAACGCATATTAAACTGAAATAAAAATTGTGTTAAATTATGGATCTAAGCCTCTGGATAATCCAGAAGGCGGTCAAAAATCGATAGCCAAACCAAACTTGTACTTTGTCTATAAGAAGACAGGTAATCCTTGACTTACGACCACAATTGGGCCCCAAATTTATAGTGAGATGTTTGTTAAGTAAGTTTTGCCCCGTTTTATGACCTTTCTTGCCACTGTCGTTAAGTGAATCACTGCAGTTGACAAGTTAGGAACCCCGCTCTTAAGCGAATCTGACTCTTCCCTCATTGACTTTGCTTGTCAGAAGGTCGTAAAAGGGGATCCCATGACCCCAGGACACTGCGACCGTCATAAGTATGAACCAATTGTGCCAAATGTCTGAATTTGCCAGACATCACGTGATCATGGGGATGCTACAAAGGTTGGAAGTGTGAAAAATGGTCATCGGTCGCTTTTTTCAGTGCCGTTGTAACTTTGAATGGTCACTAAATGAGCTGTTGTAAGTCGAGGACTACCTGCATACAAATATACTGAGGACTGTTGGTGCTATTTTATCTCGGAATTTCCTGTCTAAGCTCACTACAGTGCATAGTGTCAGGATTCTGGCTGTTAACCCCCATTTAAATCATAAGCGTCGAGCCAAACTTCCAAAACCTCAAAAGGATTTATTGGAACTTAACATGCCAGCACTACCTGAGTGGAGCCAACTCTTGAGATATATAATTCATTGTCACCCTTGACCCTGGTTTTCCCTCACCCCCTGGGTGTATCATAATTCATATTCTCCAATGGGACACATCCCTAGCCAAGAGTCATCAATCATGCTCTCCAGTTAGAATTTTGCACGGCA